AAGTCCTAAAATCCCGAGGCAGCAAGTTATCTCTGACCTTAGTATCCAAAACTACTTCTCAGCATTATCAAGGAACGCTCTGCCCCGACAAAACACTCCTCTACCACTTGCAGCAACACAGCCCACGAAATACTCCCCACTACTGCAAAGATGCCAGAAAAACAAGAAAGCTTCATGAACGAAGGTAAAACGTTAATATATTTGAATTATGAGCTAGTGTAGTATACCTTAACGTTGCTGGTCTACACACTTTCAAGGCCAGCAATTTATAAAAATAACTCACTATATATCTCAAAGTTCATGTCTGCAATCTATACCTAAGTCAGCCTTGTGTTACTCAACGGGGAGGAAGGGAGGTTAACCCATTTAGGTTAAGGGTCTGAATACTCTGTCTTAAGTAGTCACTGCATCTTACAGAACATGTCCTTTCCTAATATAACGGCAACTAGAAGCCTCGGAAATTTCAATTTCTCCAGGAAAAAAAAACAGCAAAGGCTGCCTGCAAACTGCCAGAGCAGCAAAGAAAAGCTGTGGCAGCACATCTAAATAGAGAAAAAAAACCAGGCAGTCTGAGCATCCCAAGGTCCATTGCCACAGAAAGAGGAAAAGGGGGTGAACAAGGAAGATATATTTGTATATCCCTGTTCTATTTACAAGGGGGGAAAATACCAGCACTTTAAGATGTAAATAATAGAATTGAAAGTAAATAACGTCTTGAGAATACCTCTTTTTTTTGATCTTGAATGGGATTAGTACTGCTTTTTGTGATTTTAATATTGCTAAATTCAGGTATACCTACATCATTCATTCAGAGTCTAGCCCTGCTCCAAACCTACATGATGGAGCAGCTGACAACAACAAACCAGTCGATCAATTCCAAAGAAAGCCTACTGTCATTTAAGGATTTTTTGTTTGTTGGGGGTTTTTTGTTTTATTTTTCTTTAAGACCTAAGCTTTTGATATTCTTTTAAACCACACCTCCTTAAGTTAAATGGCCTTTAACAAATTGGAAGAGCATCACTCTCTCATAAAAGCATTTGGAAAGGGAAAACTAGGCTGGACATTCATGATTATTTTAAAGACAAAAGTGAAGTTAATTACTGAATATTTTCATTGTGGTGATGCATTATAGCCTCAAATAAAACCTTTAGATAACCTGATTTCACCACCACTAAACACACACACAATTGCACACCATCTGAAAAACAACATCATCATGCTCTAAATGCAAAATAAATCTTCTTAAAAATCACTGCAAATGATCATGCATGAAGTGTTGAAGAGAACTTCAAAGCTGTGTAACAAGCTTTCCCGAAAGAAGTCACTAAAACCGTATCTGTCAATCTTCTGTCAATTTCTAGTTGAAGAACTCCCAACAACTCAATCAACCCCTCTTTCTGCAAGAAGATAATTGAGGAAAGCAACCTCAAATTATGTAAGTGCTCCAAAAAGAGCAAGATCACATGGTTACCCAAGTCTTAAAAGTCTCCCTTCCTAGAGTGATTTTTCCCCAAAAGCATGCAATGGGGGAAAGCTATACACAAGAAAACCCAATACAAGCAAGAAACAGAAACAATAAAGAAGATAAATACAGTTTTATGCTTATTAAAATAAAACATGAACATCTATGTAACAATTTAGGCAGTTGGGTTTGGGAATTTGGATAAGGATATTTTCTACACCAGCTCTATTTGCTCAATCCAAAAGTTCTGATGCCTTTAAAGAAAACCACACTTAGACAGACCTGTCAGCTGGTCTGTCTCAGGAAAAAAGAATGTACTTGAAAAGTGATTTTGGTGCACAAACATCAAAAGAACATAGCTCACTTACACCAAGTGAGTCCAGAATCATAACTACATTTCCCATCCATCCTCCTCTTCTTATACCACAGCTATCTTTTCCCACACAAACTCCATTTTGAGCACTACTGAGAAGCAAACAGCCATCAGCCTCACTTTCTGAGGCACAAGCAGTGCTTTACTGAAGACATTGTCTAATCCAAAGAGCTTAGTATGCAAGGCCTGGATTCTGCCAACATTTGCACATGCCTAACCTGATGCATATAAATGGGGATTACTCACATGCTGGAAGGTAAGTACACGAATAACAAGCATGTTCATGAATCAGCAATTATGTGCAGGTAGAATAAAAAGCCAAAGTGAAAGAAGATGGGGCACAAGAAGCATGAAAGTTGTCACAAGGCATTAATAATTATTAAAGTGTGAATGCTCCCAACTAGATTTTTAGGAAAGATAACTTAGATGTAAGTTTAAAGAATGTTGTCTTTGTGAGTTTGGAGGTGAAGAAGAGGAGAGGTATTTGGTTTATCATGCAAATACACAATAAATTGTCAACCATTAGAGTGTGCCAAAAAGCAACCCTTAGACTGCTCCTCTTTACCCAACCCCCCCAGTTCTTCAGCTGAAATACTTAATGGTTTTACATTCTCACTTGCTTTCTTTCTCCAGCCACAAGCCAGTTGCATGTCTGGGAAGCTTTTTAATTGGGGTGATATGGCCTATTTAAAATACAATTCCTTCATCAGCCAACTAGCAAAAATATTTATGATTTTCTAAAATATAAAGAGCAGCTCTCCAGAACAAACTAATTAATGTTGTGAACAAGCAAACTGCTGTGCAGCTCAACCTAGGAACTGTGAAATTAGAGACTCTGGAACCTGTGAGGAAGAAGGTGGCATTGTATATATAAAATAGGCTGCTTTTAACTTCCTCTGACACCAGTTTGGTTAAGAAGGGCGTTCCAGTTGTAGTAGGTTATTCTGTATTGACTAGTAATCATACATTGTCGAGAAAAATATCCTTAAGTGTTCATCCCGAGTGGCCAAATGCTTCCGTCAGCTCCTACAGCAATCAATTCTAGGGACCCTGACTGCTACCAGTGGCTTCTGAAGCCTGCAAAGGGTGCCCTGTGGAGATCAGACTCTCTTGCACAACAGCTTGCAACAGGAGTTCCCAAATTTAACCTTACTTGTTAGCTACATCAGCAAGGGATGCTGGTATTAGCCTATCATCAACAACACACCTGCCAGTGCACCACAACCTATGACAAGCATACAGATATACATATTATATGGCAAGCATAGTGCTCTAGGTATTTTGAACTGGTTTCTAAGCTATAGCACTATGGATCTCCTTCAATATTTTAGTGATTCTGCCTTCCATTGACAAAAAATAATATACCAGAGTAACAGAGAACTCCAAAACACAGCCCTTTTGGAAGAGCCAGGCTTCAACATTCAGGATGCCCCAATATCTGGTCTCTTCAGAGGACAGCACCCTTCTTTCATGCTTTCATTAGCGAAGCATTGGTTAGCCTCAAGCCAAAGCTCAGTCACTGTGACCTTTCCAGCTCCTACATCAGAGTGATTCAATTCTAAATTACTACCATTCACAAAAAGGCAGTCAATGACTTGCATCAGGAAGGTCACAAATAATGTTTCAACATCAACTACTCAATATAATTTGGAAAGTCACAGAAGCCTAGATGTCCCAACATTCCTACTACAGCTGTTTTGATACCAAGTTATATGCACTAACATGTTTTTCTATCTCCATCAATACTGCGAACACTTTACATAAAGAATAGTTTCAGCATTATTATATGTACAGCATTTTACTTTGTATAAACAAAAAACCTACAGGAACTAATTGATTCACTCTGTAACACTCAAGATGTGCTGGGGATGTGGTTTAACCACAGCCAAAACCAGCGCAGGACTGAATAGCCCTGAAAGACAAAATCTCCATCCTTGAGTTTTTACAGCAGAAGGAAATATACAAGCAATTTACCAAGACTTACTGATATCTAATGACTGGAGTTTTGAATCAGGAATTTTAATGCCATAAATGAATATTTGAAATAACAGTTAACAGGAGCAAGGGAAGCTAAGGAGCAAAATAAAAAAGAACAAAGGAAAAAAAAACCACCAGAAAGTAGTAAAAGCAGCAAAGGGGAAAAAACACCAACCAAGCAAAAAAGAACGCTTAAATTTCAGGCTACTAACAGAAATGGAAAGTCTAAAGTCACCACCCATGTGGTGGTTGTGGTCTTCACTATCTACACAAGAGGTCCTAAAAACTCAGAGAAACCAAGACTGGTTAAAGTTGCAAGACAAAACTGAGACTTGAATGGCAGCTAAAACAAGCCAAGGGTATGAAACCTCTGAGACAGGCAATCTTTAAGCTTTAACAAATAAATATTGAGCAAGTTACAGAAAATGGTTGGCTTTTCTTACTGATCATGTCTAACTTTGTAAGATACCAAGTCTGCATGTGTCCAAAGCAACTTGATAGCTATATGCACCAATACCACAAAAATGGTTATTATTCAGTTTACTCCAATGAAAACAATGTCTCCGGGAGTTTATTGTGGCCAGTTTGCTTTCCACCCCCTCCCTGAGCATAGCAAATATGCAATAGAGTAACCCTTGGGTTTTATGAACTACTAAAACATGCATTTCTTACTGTTCAACATTTCATTGGGAATACCCATCCAGACACTTGCCAGAAACTTCACTAACTTTTGTAGCCTTGCAATTCCAAGAGATATCACAAATCTGAGATCATTACAAGACACAGGTAGTACCAAACTAGCACTGGGTATTTTATCGAGTTTAATTACTGCTCAGTCCTGATGAAGACCTGTATTTCTGCTAATGTGACTCCTGAAAGCTGCCTGCTTTTTCATCAGTGTGACTTAGTGAATCCTGTAACAAGACTTGCGGAGCTGCCCTGGGAACTAATAACAGGTCTGGAAAAACCCAGACACACTGCTCTGTTTCTCCCACTCTTCAATTTCCAGTGACGGAAGGGAGTGTAAATTGTACTTAATTGCAAAATTGTCAGTTCAGTCCTTGAGTCAGTAAATTATGCTTTTACAATTTCTCCTCATTCTCCTCTCTCTCCTTTCCCAGGGAATGTGCACTTACAGCATTAATTCTCATCTCCAAGTACTTCTACTGTCTTCTCCCTCTACCTCACCCCACAGCCTTCTAGCCCCCTTTTCTTCTCGCTTGCTCCTACAGGACACCACATCCCACCTTCCCATCTCACACCCTTCCTCCAGACAGTCTCTCAGCTCCTCACTAGCAGAAAATTCCCACTCCTGCTCATGAACTCCTCTCACCAGCCCACCAGTCAATGTTTTGTAGGCATCAGTCAACACTTGGTGAGGGACAGGGAAAGGAGGCACAAAGTGGAGGGAGGTTCCAGCACCAGCTCCAAGCAGTCCTACTCCCAACTCCTCAGGAGCAACACTGGAATAACCATTTCTTGTAGGACTCCTTGGTCCTGCCAGAGGAGTGGGTCCCAACTCTCCATCTCCTAAATTCATACTTTCAGGGCTTGCCTTCTGTGTTTGTTTTTAAATGAGCTGAAACACTTCGCAATATTTAAAAGTAAACTTTGCAACTTCAAATCCCATGCTGCCTGAAACAACTTGCTTCATTCTTTTATGTATAAAGCAGAGGGAGGAAGTTGAGATAATCCCTCTATGAAGTTATAAAAGTTTGAATTCTAACATTTTCCTACCCTTATGTATGCCCACATTTACTTTTTGGACTGGAAATTAACACTTGATATCTGACAAGACAGAGTTAGAAAAAATAAATCTTAATAAATAATAGAAGAAAAGCTTTCAAAGCCAACCTACAACCATCATCCTTCTTTCCTTCCTGCCCTCTTATAGCCCTTTTCAAGTATGCAATTTTAAGTTTTAAAACTGTTACATAAAACACCTCTGAAGCCTAATACACTCTGCTTTTAAAATCCAAAATTGTGCTAAATCCTTACAGCAGAAAAGCCAGTATGTTACAGTTATGCTTACAGACACTCACTGACTGCAGCTGGAGGGTACAGAAAAGGAGAAACTGTGAACCTAGACATTTAATAACTGTGAAAGCAGTAGTGAAGCTTTTCGATTTCAGCAGTCTACTCACACTGAAGACAAAGCCCTAGGAGCACCTTTGTAGTCCCACGAATTCATCTCAAAAACAAATTCCAAGCTTGACAACCAAACCAGCCTTTTTCCCCACTTTTTTAATATCACAAAAATATAAGTACAAAGCTCTACACTATCTGAAGAAGTCTGAAGACGGCACAGTTTCCTTAGATTTCTGTTCTGGCCCTTTAACTACATTTAAGGAAAATACATCTTAATAGTACTTGTCACAATGAAGTATCTCCCATTGTATTCTTGTCTTGGACACTTTTTATATCACAAAATTACTATCAACAGTAAGAACAAAATATTACCTGCTTAGCAAGATATCTAAGAGACAACTGAGTGTGTTGTTTTCACATTATAGAATGGATATGTTATTCTACCAGGATCCAGGGTTTCTCAGATGCATGATGCAAGTAATTGGCCAATTCAAGTATTTAATGGTAATCCATCAGTTCGTCCCCAAATAAATAAATAAAACCACTTGACACACTACTTAAAGAATTAGTCCCTGTGCAAAGTACCAGATTTTAATTCAGCCAGTCACTCTCACACAGACAGAGTCAATTTCTCACAGATGTTTACAGAGAAGTGCAGTATACTAATAAAAGGTTTCAATCAAGGAAGAACTAAAGTCTCCAAACAAGACCAAGTGAAACTGAGCAAATCACACACTGCTTAGCTTCTTCTTGGACAGAAGGTAGTTTCCTCATTAGATTTTGTACTCTGTTTACTAACACTGTTGGGCATACTACCTTCAAATTAGAAACAAAACAAAAAATATACATTTTATTGGAGAAAACAACCTACTATACAGTTTTAGGTTTAAAATTATTAATTAGAAGCTACTATAGAAGACAAATGTATTTAAATGGGGACTGAACTGGGGGAAATCCTATATAGGAAGAAAAACCTCTTTGTAAAGACAGAGTTATCCATTCTGCAACTCTTTCAGCAGCTATTAGGACTGCAGTGATTTCCCTTGAGCAGTTAACCCAGCTGTTTACTTCCCTCTGCGTGGCACAGATAAATACTTATAAAAGTGTCAGCTCTACATTGTCCAGTCAGTCACAAGAACTGCTGGTATAAATAACAGCCTGAGTTTCCATCTGAGTTCACACACCATCTTTAAAGAACAAAAAGAAGCAACACCTAAAATCAGAGAGAAAAAAACCCCAAAAAATAATGGCCACGTCTCACATATTAAAATGGATGGAGAAACACTCATCCTACTGGAGTGAGCAGACTGTATGCCAAATTCTGCAACTTCGGACAAAATTATGTTGCTCATTACCTTCTCACTTCCCTCACAACCCCAGCACACTGGGAGAAAAAGGAAATTAGCAAACACCACTACAAGAAGCTATTGATTATAAATAATTTTCCCCTTCAATGAGCATTCAGGGGATGTACTTAATATTAGCCTCCTCTTCCAAACAATACTAAGTGTACCATAGTAAACTGTCATTTTTCCATAAACTAATGGTAATTAATAAAACTAATTCAGCTGTACAGATTCAATCAAAGAGATATTTAAGAGTTTTTTTGTCTTTAAGAATATTGGCATTTTACATAATATAGACTATTTCACTTTAGCATTTTAAATACAGAATCCAATAGTTCTTGCTACCATGTTTACATTTCACTACTACATGCAAAACCCACAAAGTGACTTGACTCATCCACCTTCAATACCCTCAGTGAAAAGGAGTAAAACTCCTAAATGGCATGAGAAGAGCAGACAGACTTCCTCCAGGGAGAAATTAGAATAAAACCCAATTGCATCTGAACACAGGTTCAAACAAGAACCTTTCTACCACAGTTACCCTCAAAGATTAACTCTTTGCATAACACATTCAGGACAAACTCACACACAGACCAGGAATTATCAGAGCTGTTCAGACCAAGCAGTCTCATGACCAAATACCATAAGACCTCTTCAGGGGAGTAACGCTGGAATATATACAACAGTGTTTGAAGACTCAGGTCCTTTACCTTCCTACAGTTTATTCTTAAGCTTGCTGTTAGCAATCTGCCATCTACTAATTTTTAAACAAGTTTATCACAAGGAAAACAAAACCATAACTCTCAAAGTTCGCTCCTTATTACCACTGGTAAATGAAAGCAGTAATATTTTAAAACTCATCACATCAGGAGAACACTGTTCCCCACAAAGATGGTAATTGAACTTGGATTATCCTCATAAGAACATTCAGCCAGGGGGGATATAGTTCCTTTTGCCAACCAAACTACTTTTCTCTTGAGAATTCAGTGTTGTGAGACATATAGCAATTCCAACTTTTATGTTAAAAATGAAGAGCAATACTACATCCTATGTCTACTTCATTTTTCCTGCCATTCATGTCTACACCTTTGTTTTTAAGGCTGGGGAACATTAGTAGCTCAGTACCACTAATGCATCTTCTCAACAAGACAAGACTGAGCACTACTCTAATCATACAAAACCATCGTGGGTCCCATTCTGAAAGGCAGTGAGTGCCCTCATCTCCCATTGATGTCAGACCACATAATGTTACAAGTGTTGAGGTCTATTGTTCACTCCATTTTTCCCCATCCTGTGAGGTCTTGCCATATATTCATTAGAAAAGGCCATACACTATACCACACCAATATAAAACAAAACATAAGACCCTCAGGCATTTATTTTGTGTTTACCAAACTCCTATCATCCACAGCATAATTCAAAAAAGGGCAGGGTACACAGTGCAACTGCACAAGCAAGCTCTGTTTTCCAGACAGAAGCATTTCTTGGATGGCTTTTTTTTTCTTAAAGAAATGGTAGTTTATAAGAGTCAGGAAGCCCTCCCAATGCAGGAACTGCAAATCCCAAATCCAGTAACACTAAAAAGTGACCCCGCATTTCTGATTCAGTTAACTTGGTCACACTGGATGACAACACCTACACATCAGTCGATGAGCTACATATTCTTTATCTGTATTCTAAAACACAGAATTACCACTTCAATTTCTCCTCTAGAAACACAGCTGCACTTGCTAGGCCTTATGCATTATCACTAATTATTATTTTAAAGCTTGGTTTCGTGCATATAAAAGTAGGTTGTGACTTGCTTTGGAGAGGGAAAGAATAGGGGAATGACCTGTGGATCAAAGCCCAGCTTGCTTAAGGAGGTGGTTTACACTCAAATTCTTCTCGTCTGAATTTGCAGTTAAATCAACCGTTTTCGTGCTCTAACCACCAAGAAGAGTTACAACAATGTAGCCTCACACAAACAGATGGTTGTCCGGAGTAAAACAGTTACAACGTTTGTTCAAACGCACATCTGCTGGAGTCCTGCCAGCCAGCCTACCCCGGCGGACCGGCTCGGGGGGGAGTTTCAGTTTTGCCCGATCAGGAAACGACTGTGTAACATCACGACCGAACCCGAGGAACTCGATAAAGAAAAGCCCTTCGGGCACGGCTCTCCGAGCCCCCAGCAGCTTCTGGGAACGGCAGCGGCAGCGAGCACCAGGCTGGGGCGCCTTCCCCGGAGGGCACCGCGCAGCATCCGCGGCACCTCTCGGGGTCCAGCCCGAGGGAAAGCAGAAGGGTCGGGAGCACACAACAAGCGCCGAGAGCTCCAGCGCAAACGGGAGAGTTTTTCCCGCCCCGGAAAGGGAGG